TGTCTCGACCCTCAGTCCAAAAGCCGCGACAGTCAGCTTGCGTTGACCCTCAATCACTGCACCTCTGAGAAGCATCTGTCTCTTCTGTAACTTCCCACTGGGTGTTTAAAGACAGCAAAAAGATCTCCCCTTAGCTTCTTGTTCTTAAGGCTTAACAAACCCAGTTCTCTCTGCTCCTCGCATGTCATGGCCTCCAGCCCCCTGACCATTCTGATGGCCCTCCACTGGGCTCACTTCAGGATGTCAGTGTCTTTCCAGTGCTGGGGAGCCCAAAGCTGGGCGCAGTGCTCCAGGTGTGGTTTCTCAGACGGAGAGTAGAGAGGAATAATTGCTTCCCTTGACTTACTGGCTACACTATGGCTGTTTCAGCCTAGGATGCACTTGGTCACCATTGTTGCAAGGGCCTGCTACTAACTGCTATTAACTTGTCTATCACAACCCCTAGATCCAAAACTGTTTGCCAGCCAGCTTCCAGGCTGCACTGCTCCATAGGGTTATTCCGTATGAGATGCATGAGCCTTTCTTCAGCTGCATCATCACAACCCCTAGATCCAAAACTGTTTTCCAGCCAGCCAGCTTCCAGGCTGCACTGCTCCGTAGGGTTATTCCATATGAGATGCATGAGCCTTTCTTCAGCTGCATGAGGCTCCTTTTGGCCCATATGTCCAGACTGTCAAGTTCTGTCTGCATTGAAGGGCTGCCCTGCTGTTCTTCCCTAATTTGGTGTCACCCAGGAGTTTTCTGGGCATGCTCTGTGTAGTCATCCAGGCTGTTAATGAAGACATTATTGTTCCTGGTATTCATCCCTGAGGGACACCACTAGTGACTGGCAACCATTTGAACTTTGTACTGCCAATCACAATCCTTTGAGGCTGACTGTCCACCTGTTTTCCACCAGCTATCCAAATCTTACCAATTTAGCTATAAGCGTGTTATGGGAGACCAGATCCATGTCTTGTGAAAGTCAAAATATATAACATCTGCTGCTGTTCCTTTGTCCACTGAGCTAACCATCTCATCACAGGAGGCAGTGAAGTTGCTAAGGGCTGATTTATCCTCAGTAAATCAATGTTCATGCTTCCCAGTCACCTTCTGTCCTTCATGTGCTTGGAAATGGATTCCAGAAGGATTTCTTTATAGCCTTGCCAGGGAGCTGAGGTTGACCTGCGTGTAGACCCCTGGTACTTCCTTCTTGTGATGTTTTGCTTTGTCCAGTCATTAGGAACCTCTCCCAATTGGCATGACCTGTTGGAAGTGATAAGAGTGGCCTCACATTGGCCAGCTCTCTTAGCATCCGTGGATGCAACTTACCTGGTTTTATGGATTTATGTCCAATTGGATTAAGTGCTTTGTATGTCTGTCTTCCTCTGCTGTGGCTAGCGTGTACTCCTGCAGACTCTGCTAGTAGTTTTGGGGACCTGGAAAGTCTGAAAGTAAACCTTACCAGTGAAAACAGAGATAAAAAGGACATTGAGTATCTCAGGCTTTTCCATGACCTTTGTGACAAGGTCTCCAATGTGAGGCATACTTTGTGTAAACAGACTTTACTACATGATACTTCACTTTTTGCAAGTATCTCTACTAATCTGTTGTTTTTTTTCTTTACTCTCCAGCTGCTCTTGAGGGGTTATGCTCAGCATCAGTCATCTATCATTATCCCGGTGGTACTGGAGGTAAAGTTGGATCTCGCAGGGCGCAAGGAGGTTCTCTTTCTGCTGAAGCAGGCAACAGGCACAGACCAGGTAACGACAGGATTTGTTTTTTATTCTGTCTGCCACCACTGAACACCTGAAAATTTCCTCCCTACTTCCTATCTCTGTAAAATTATACCAATAACAGGATAAACTGGAGGGGGGTGGGAGGGGAGAACTTTGTAATATTTCTTTGTAATATTTTTCCATGAATGACTTTTCTCCTGCTTTGGTATTAATGTTGACGTGTGTGCTTTGCATACAGTTGCAAAGCTTTTGATCTCTTCATCTGGTTGTTAATAGTGTCTGTGTTAGGTTTAATTTTGCTAGAGGAGATGCAGACAGTTTTCATAAAGTACCTGTGATGTGGCAGAGCTGCGCATATTGAGAAGAGTAAGCTAGGTACATTTATTCGGAGATGTTTTGCTGTTCTAAAGTCAACATTTAATAAATAGATTTGGTTAACTAAATACCAATAAACCAACATAATTTTTAAGATTTAGTATACGTTTTCTAAATTCTCAGATTGCGTAACTAATATGATGATTGTGTTAACGTGGATATGATAGACATTCTTTGAGAAATGGCTTGCTTAAACTATTTTAGAAATTATTGGGAGAGTAACAGAGAGGGAAAACCAGAAAATATCATTAAGTCTGCAGTTTATCTGCATCTGGAATATTGCATGCCATTTCAGTTTCCCAGTTCAAAAGGGTGTTCATGTTCCCTGTCTCCCATTTTTCTACTGGAAGAAGGTTGCAGATAGGCAACAAAGATTATTTTGATATATGTTTCTGTACAAAGAATAACTGAATAGCCTAGAACTCTCAAGTTCTGCTCAAGGGATGGCTGAGGAGAAATAAGAGAGAGCTCTAGAACATGTTGAATGTTGTGGAAGAGGATGGATAGGGATCAGAGGTTCAGTGCTTTTTCTGACAGAAGAACTAGAGGACATCAAATACATCTACATCTGTCCTTTTCCCAATTTATAGGTATGATGTGGAAGTCCTTGCTAGGAGTTTCTGAATCTGGTAGAGTGATACGGTGAGGCTGATGCAACTCCCTGTCGCCAGGTCCAGCCAGTTGTGAGGCCGAGCGTGACATCCCAACAGGTGTATGTACGTGCACACACACCGTGTACATACACACAGCCACGCAGACCAGCACAGGCAGAAAACACAGAACTTGGGCAAACACAGACAGTGCTCACAGCCTGATCCCGCTCCCCTTTCTGGCTGATCAGGAGGAAAGCCTGTTAGTAGTGTAGATCCATCCAGCAGCTGGTTTTAGTCATTCAAGTCTATCCAGTAGCTGGCTACTGGATTGCCAGCTCTCACCAGTTGCTGGCACCTGGACCTACAAGCCCCCCAGACTCAGAGCCCCATTCCAGTTGTTCATACTTAGACCTACGCACACACACAAACACGCAGCACTCCCCTTATCCCTCTATTTTTCCATGGTTGTTCGCTAAACTGCCTTGATCAGTGTTTTTCCCTGTCTGTGGTTTGTCCCCTACATATCCCATAAGAAATCTTGTACAATCCCAAGATGTTCTTTCCCTGCATCCTGTAATGAGTCTTCTATCTCCATCGGCAATAACTCCCCACAGTCTGTAAGGTGACCTGGAGAGCTGCTCACGTTAACGGATCTTGATGAGGTTTCACCCCCAGACAGCTCTGTTGGCTCTGATGAGGTTATTGGGGTTCAGCTGGCTGTCACTGTTCCTCCAGACTCCTTTGTGTTGTGGAGATGAGCCATTAATTGCATAACTGAGCACTTGCTGCATGGTGTTAAGGCTCCTGAAAGTTTCTGTGACTTCAGGAGAGGCTGGCTGGGGTCATGAAAGGAAAATATATCCATTATGATTAGCTGGACAGGCCTTTGGTGTGACCCAGCACAGCTGTTTCTGTGTGTATACTCAGGTTCTTACGCTGTACTGAGACAAACAGAAGTGAGTTTAAGTGCTGGTGTAAGTAGTGGTGTGCAGTGTGATCACAATGAATTCCTTCATCCAAAAAACCAACACCCATCTTTATTCAACTGTAAGAAAACCAACCACCCATCTTTATTCATCTCTAAGTCACAGTCTAGTAAAGGCTTGCTTTGTATTTATTGCAAACTGTATGTTGATACCAGATAATTGTGATAGTAAAATTACCTTATTTCAGGAGAGAACACTGAATTTTTCATGTAATACCTCGTCATTAAAATCTGTTCATTTGCCCTGTGACCTGTGAGTTCATTTTAATTGGCTGTTACAGTATAATTTCACATAATTCCTGACCTTTGTCCACTTTTCAACGAGTATTTAATAGCAGGTGTTGCAATCTGTTTGTAACGGGTACTCCTGGTTACTAAAGAAGGTAACAAATAAGTCACAGCTATGAGAACAATTGAAGAAAATATATTTTGGGTATATTATTGCTGCTTCTCTATATAAGTTGTCTTCTAATTCCAAGTCCTGTTTGCAAACTTCTTAGTGTGGTTGTATATGAAAAATGTTTTAGTTTCATATGACAAGATTCTTCAAAATGTGAAGAAAAACTAATTACAGGTTTTTTGTCATCCCTTCCAGATGCAAATGTTACTTCATGGTCCAGTAGATATTGTTCCCTAATTTGGTTATGAGCTCTTAATGTTTTGAGATCTGAACTCTGTCTGGCCAAACACCTATTGTTGTGATGTCTTTTTCTACAAGTTTTTCTGAAAGCTGCTTTTCCATACCTTTTTTGACTCCGCAGTGCCTTTCATTTAAAATCTTTTCAAACTACACCTCTGTTTATAATCGACTCTCTTATAATTAATTTTGTGAGGACAGTGTTTAATCTGGGGAACAAATTCCAGTGTACTTTTCTGTAGGGCAAGGTCAGAAACAAAAGGCCTTTCTAAATTCTGCACAAATCAAGAAACGCCGTACGTGGAACTGATGTTTAATCCGTGCCTACTTTTGAGGCATACAGATGTGAGAGTTACCTTTGTTACTTCCTGATGTGCCTGGAATTGCCCCTCTTCTTGTGCCTGTACTCCAGCCGTGACGGGATGGGCTTTCTTGGCATTGCCTTCGTGCCCAGACCTGATCAAGAGAAACCTCTTTCTCTTGGATCTCCTGTGACTTCCACCGTTTGGAATTTTTAGGCTACAGCACAGGACTTGGCTGCTTACAAAAATGTGGTGTCTGATTTATTTAAAAATGTCTATGAAGAGAGCAGCATTAATATTGTGTCTCTTTATATATAGAGAGCAAAAGCATAAGAGGGCAGTGTTAAAGGATTTTTTTTTGTGTATTTTTTTTTTTCCTTCTACTAAGCAGAATTGAAATATATTTCATACCTCTCTGTGACCATCAGAATATTGCCATTTTTTTTTGCTGGTGCGCCCTTCCACTTCTTTTGAAACTCCTTTTGATAGGAGTAGTTCGTTCAGAAGAGAATTAGTCCATAATAGAGTGTTTAAAGTATTTGCCTGGAGGAGGGAGACGTGAAGTCTCGCCTGATCCAAAGACAGATTTCTTCCTTGGTCTCTGCCATGAGCCCCTGGCCTGTGGTCTCTTACTGGTTGTGAAATGGGAGCTTTGACGTTTTAAAGAAGTGTGACTTCTCACATTCCTAAAACTTTTTGGTAGGGGGAGAGCTTTAGACTCTGTCTGCTTGAATGGCTGGGTTCATTTTTGCGGCCTTGGGTATAAAAGCAGATTTTGAGTTGCTTGGTTCCTGCTGGCCAGGAAGCTGGCCATGATGTTTGCTGTGTGATTTGTGCATAAGCTGGGTTTAGATTGCTTTATGTTTAGCTGACAAGCTGTTTGGAGTTTCTGATTGTGTTTTATTTGTGTGATGAGCTCAGCTTTTAATTTTATCACCTGACCTTCCTCTTTCCCAAGCAGAATTAGGACCCCTAGAAGTGTTCAAGGCCAGGCTGGATGAGGCTTTGGGCAACCTGGTGTAGTGGAGGGTGTCCCTGCCCATGGCAGGGGGGTTGGAACTAGATGATCTTAGAGGTTCCTTCCAACCCAAACCATTCTATGATCTTTCCGATGTCTCTCTAAATCTCCACTAGTCTGGAGCCTGAGCGAATCAACTGAAGGGAGGTCCTGTCTCGCTTATAAAGCAGTTGGTTTTGACATCTTAACCCTTGATCTTAACAATTTTATTGCCATGTTTAATGAAAGTTTAGGGCAACAAGGTGTTATATGTCTGATAATCCAACTTTGCGATGCTCATGGCAACTATTTTATGTGAATAGTCTGGCTTGCTGGGTTGGCATGACTCAGTTATTCAGAAAATTTGATGGAGTGAAATTAATGACAACTGAAAGGGATACAATTACTTGAAAATGTTATTCTGGAGTATCGTGTAGATTAAACGAGCTCCCCCAAGGACGTTTAAGCACTGTAGGACCTGATATTAAAATATAGTAAGTGGATTGTGATGGAAACTTGCCAACTAAAACAAGAATAAAGAAAAAGGAGAAAAAGGATATGGCTCGAAGAATTTCTAGTATATAATTTAAATTCTTCTTGATGTTTCTTAGAATTCACTGCAAGTTTATGGGATTTTTACATCTGTTTTTTAACAAAACAATTCACATATAGTGACTACTTGAATTATAATTAGTAGTCCTTCAAAATAGCAATGATGGTCCTGATAAATCTTGTAATTTTGTTCAAGCCTAATGTTAGTTATAAAACACTGTAAGATCTTATTTTGTTGGCTGTATGTGAGGCTGAAAAAAAATCATTTTTGTTCCTCCTTTTAGGGGCACAAGAAGTTCTCATTGATCCAGGTACATTATTTTCATGCATGTTTCCAAAGTCTTCTCTTTTTATTACTTGCATTTGTTTTGCATTTGTCTAGATAGTTACTGCCACTTGCCAAAACTACTACTGGTTCCTGATGCTTCAGGTTTTGGCTATAAATCTTGAGGAAGCAAAGAGGCCAGAGGGTAACTGACACAAAATAAATGATGTAATTCCATGATTGTCCCCCTGTAAATTCTAATCAAGAATGTTTCTTCTCACGAGTAGTGAGGATTTATTTATTTATTTTTTTTTTAAACCGACAAACCTGAATGGTCACATGTAATCTTGTAGTGTCATGGTATTCTTTCAGTCATCACTAACAGAGATTTTACACTTAACTTCCATAAAAACCTTAAGGTCTTAATCTACAGATATACTCGATATTATTCTTTAAGGTTGACAAACATATTAAAAAGTTGCTTTAGCATATGAGCGTGTAAAATATCCCATTTCTGATTTTATAGATGGAGTAGAAAGTATCTTTCACAGTAGTTTTTAACTGTCTGTTGAGAGTTAGGTCCAGCTCTGAAACACAAAAATTTTTTTTTGCTATTTTAGTAGAGAAACCTCTTGAAGAAAGAAATTACTGTATAAATTTAGGCATGTAATCCTACAGATTAGGTAACACTTAAAAAGGTATAGAGCCTTGCCAAACCTTTTAATGTAGTTTTCAATTTTATTAACACTGTAATAAAATTAAGTTCTAGAAATAAAACTTCATATTCTTTGTAGTGTGCCAAATTTCCTTGCCTTCTCTTTCAGATTCTTATCCATTATGTATGTAAAGACGCTCTTTCTCTCTCACCTTCTTTCTTACGTAAAAAAAGCAATTTCTTACTGTTTTGTCTGAGCCTCAGGTAATTTTTTTTTTAATGTAGAAGGCTCAGTTTTTGTGGCCTTTATTACAATGTCATACTTGGTTTTCTGTGGTTAGACATAGGTTAGAGAATATGGTTAAAGGACTGGAGAAGGTCACTGGTCTAATAATTAGTTTATAAAAAAAATGCTAATTTCTTCTTTTCTTAGGTGTGCTTTAGAAATAAAATTTTTAAGTAGAACAAGGAATAATTCAATAATTAAAACTGCATATATAGATGTGGCCATCATTTAATTTTAGCAGTATAATGTTTTATTCACAGTCTAAATACTCAGATAAGTGTAAAAGATAATGAATGTATTTGTTTTTTACCAAGTGAAAGATTATTTCTTGTTTGCTGGTTTATGATGGAATCTATTTTTCATTTTCACTCTTGAAAATAGCATAGTAAAACAGAACTAATGTTTTTTAGGTAGGACATGATGTCTTTCTAGGTAGGGCAAGTATTTTTTTGTGTGTGCTTTGATCAAACCTACAGCATATCCTAGTTTTCTTCTTAGATATTTAGTGTTTGCTAGAAGTCCTTCTGCTCATTTCTTCCCCTGCTCTGTTCTAGGCGCGCTGACTTCCAACGGTATAAACGCAGATACCAGTGCTGAGATAGGACGTGCCAAGAATTGCCTTAGTCCTGAAGATATCATAGAGAAATACAAAGAAGCCATTTCCTACTACGGCAAGGTAATCCTGCTTGTTTTTAAGAAACTTCCCTGAGATTTTTGTGAATAATGAGCTGCTGTGGTTTTGGTTTCAGAGGTTCTTCTAAAGCATGTGCAATAAAGTTTGTAAAACATACAATAATGGAAGAAATAGGAATAATTTATACTACTGAACTAAGTGCTTGGTTTAGAATCTGGGAATCTCGGAACTTTGGTTGAAGACAACACCTAAACCAGCAATGTGCTGAGTAAACCATTTGCTGTGCCTGCTGGTACCTGGGTGTTTTGGATTAATTTCTTCTATTTTTAAAGCACTCTAAGCAGAAGAAGTGTTAGATATTTGAAGGTTTGTTAACCTTTACATGTGTTTATGGTCCTTAACACATACATCATCAACTCCAGTAATAGCATAGAACAGCATATTTCAGTTGGAAGGGACCTACAACAGTCATCCAGTCCAACCAGCTGACCAGTTCAGGGCTGAGCAAGAGTCAAAGCGAGTTACTGGCGACCTGCGACCTTCGTGTTGTCAGCACCACGCTTTTATGCATTGTGTAAGCTGAACACTTATTTACTGTACCTGCTGGAATGATCTCTGGGGAATTCAGGAGTTTACGAAGAGGTCACTGCTGATGGTTAGGATTTTACAGGATTGCTCAGGGAGGCGAGTGTTTAGAGCATGTGGAGAGGTAGGAGGTCGTGGAGGAAATGTGAAGGACATTCTTAAACGATGATTTAGAAAAATGAAACAGTTTTCAGCTCTACTGAAGCATTTTTTTTTTTAGATTTCTGTGCAAATGCTCAGAGCATAAGATAGTAAGGTAGCTTAATGTTTGCATTCGTAATGAGAGGAAAAAAAGATTTCACATTGTGACCATAAAGGCTCAGTATCGTGTCAACGTTAAAGATAAGTTTAATTGTATTGCAGTGTAGTTATTTATGCCTTAGTAACGTTTTAACTTCAAGTATTTCTGTTTGATATTGAAAGTCTCTTTAGACTTAGCTGTGTAAACGTGATACGGCATTTCCACGTCTGCGTGGGAGACTCTCCAAAAGCAGCGAGATAAATTGTGTGCATGAGTTAGTTTATGAGCAGAAGCAATGAAATGTGATCATTTTGGGGATAGTTTCAGATAAGTTTGAATCCATCAATATAACCATAATTCTCCAGTATGCATTCAGCTTTTTATGTTACCTTAAGGGTCAGTTGCTCATCTAGAAAAGTGTATGACTTCTAAAGAAGTATGAAATCATTGGGCTTTCTTGGACTTAGGGCAGGATATTTATCTTTTGGTTATAATAATATACATTATGCTCTCAGCAAGTAGTAACTATGCTTGGCTGCAGCTTCACTTGCAAATAGCAAAGAGCTTTGTCTTGGCACTGATCTATAACTGTAAGACAAGCATAGTTACCTTTTGTCTAAGACCTACAGATAGAGTAAATCCTAGCTCTAGTGCTCAGGAAGCAACACTTCGTACATGTTTTTTATGTTGTCACTGAGCTTAAGAAACTTTTGTAGCATCTTCTAAAATGGGTTCAATCTCCAGTGATTTATTTTTGCTGATACAAAGGCACAAGAGAGGAATATATAACTGTTTTGATGGAGTAACTCTTGCGTTTTGTTCTGAACTTCATTTCCCTTGTTAAATTTCAAGCATGATAAATACTTGAACAGAGTTTAACTTCAGCAGGCTGACTGACTCAAATATCCAATATCAGTATTGTTTGAGGGAATAACTAGATCAGTTTGTTTAGGAAATTGCCTGTGTTTGTCGTTTGAGCTGAAACACATCAATGCACATCTGCATTGTCTCCTGCCTTTCTTAAGCAAGCTGAATAATGTAACTGGGAAACGGTCATTTACAGAAAATGTTTTGTAAACAGATGGTAGAAAATTCAGAATAGTTTGTAATTCACTTGTCAGCTACTCACTGTTTTAGCTAAAGAGAAAATTGATGCAGTAAAGCTAAAGTTCTGTTGCTACAGATTCCTGTGCTGTGTAACGTATTTTGTAGTAAGTAGAAAAGGCAAAATTAATTCTTTTTTTTTTTTGTGATAGAACAGTTGTAGGTGGTGAAGAATTACTGTAAAACTGACGTTTTGCTTACATACTTATTACAGTGTCTTTGTTGCAGACACACCACCACCTGCTCCCACCATATATATGAGATTATCCTAAACGATATTCCCAACATATCTCCTTGTCTGAACTCTCAGACTGAACTGTGCTGTGTCTCAGAATAAGAAAAATGAGTGAAGAGACTGAAAAGACTGAAAACAGTTGTTTTGCAAAATAACATTTTAGATGACACCTTAATTTTCACTTGGGCATGTGTTGATAATTTAACAGTACAGTCACTAGCATTAAGGGATCGCTGGGTTTGGAAGATGTGACAGATGATTTGTGTGTTGAGCAGAAATACTTTGTGAAGTCTAACAGTTGCAATTCTTCAATATTATTTTAATTTTCTCTCTCTCCAAGTACAAGAATGCTGGTGTGATTGAACTGGAAGCCTGTGTGAAGGCAGTGAGAGTCCTTGCAATACAGAAAAGGAGCATGGAAGCCTCTGAGTTTCTTCAGAATGCAGTTTATATCAACCTTCGTCAGGTTAGTGCCAAAAGTCCAGTTATTTTTCTTTTCTCATTTGAGAGTGAAAGCAAAATGTGAAAGTTACTTACCTTCAGGAGACTCCAGTTTCTTTTCTGTAACACTACCTTCCTTCTCACTAGGACTTGATTTCTGGGGATTTTCACGTCTGTGAGTCTGGTCTAAAAGGTATTTAGAGTTCATCTGAAAAACATGAAGACTTGGTTTGAGATTAGAGACTCTATTGGTTATTCTCCCTTGTGAAGAAAAAAACTCCCATTGTTGTTCTATTGTGATGTTGTACTAGGGAAAAATAGCTGTACAGTGGATTTTCTTCTTTTTCTGGATTGTGTCTCATTCAATGAAACGGAGCAGATCAGGAATGGCCTGTTGCAAAGTGAGCTAAAAAGTCTGACTGGTGTTGTTAATCAATTGAATTTTTGTTGTATAGTGTGAAGTCTTGTTTAGGCCAAATCAGAAAGGAATTCAGAGGAGAAAAATCAGTATTTGGAAGTGTGAGAAAAATGCTCAGTACCACCACAGAACAAGACTAACACTTTATCAGTGTCTCAAGCATGCTGTTACTAATTACGGAGAGACTGCTGTGGTTGTAAGAATTAATAAAAAGCTGTTAGGTTTCTTACTGTTTTCTTTTTTTGCTCATTACATCTTGGTAAGACTAGCATTCCAAGCCCACACCATTGATCTTATTAAGCCCAGATTGGGACAGCAGATTTTGGAGGGAGGTAGAATACTTTCTTGCATTTGCGAAGAATCCTTTCTGTGGAGTCAATTTTCTAACCTAACATAAACGAGAAATTAATTGATAAGCTATCATAAAAATAATAACTTTTGTTGCAGAGTACCTTAAGTGCTCTAATCCTTGCAGCGCAAAGGGCCTTCTCTTTGCTTCTGTAGTCTGTCTTTCGCTGGCAGCTCTGTAGCCTTTGGTGGAAGCCGCTGTGGCAGTATTTTTCCCTTGTTCTTGTGCTGTTATTCTCATGGCCTGCAAACTCCAATCTTGTCATTATGTTGTTTTTCTTATGGAAGTGATTACCATCATTGTGAGAATCACCTGTCCTCCTCCTTGACACCACCGATGTTGCAACTAACCTGCAAGGCGACAGAGGGGACTCTGCCCCTCTGCTCTCGTGAGACCCCCCCCTGCAGTGCTCTGGGGCACCCGGCATAAGAAGGACATGGACCTGTTGGATCAGGTCCGGAGGAAGGCCATGAAGATGATGAGAGGGCTGGAGCACTTCTCCTCTGAAGACAGGCTGAGAGAATTGAGGTTGTTCAGCATGGAGAAGTGCTCCGGGGTGATCTTATAGCAGCTTTCCAGTACTTAAAGGGGGCCTACAGGAAAGCTGGAGAGGGACTTTTTACAAGGACGTGTAGTGATAGGACAAGGGGCAATGGCTTTAAACTGAAAGAGGGCAGATTTAGATTAGATCTAAGGAAGAAATTCTTCACTCTGAGGGTGGTGAGGCACTGGAACAGGTTGCCCAGAGAAGTTGTAGATGCCCCATCCCTGGGAGTGTTCAAGGCCAGGTTGGATGAGACTTTGGGCAGCCTGGTGTAGTGGAGGGTTTCCCTGCCCATGGCAGGGGGCTTGGAACTAGAAGATCTTTAAGGTCCCTTCCAACCCAAACCATTCTATGATTCGATGATATTAGAGGGAAAAATAGGACTTAGTGGATGGCAGGGTATATAAGACATTTAAATAGCTGGTACGAACTACCTAGTAATACAAAAGCACAAAGCTTGGCAGCTGGTCAGCATGCAACGCATGCCCTGATCAAAGCTTGCCTCAGACAGCTCTAAGAGTGTCACAAATAGAAACAGGTAAGAGTTTGAGTGGGTCCTCATGAAACACATCCAGTGAAAAAGCGTGGTGAGAAGGCATCATCGTTTTTGTCACCTGCTGTGTTGGAGAGATCCAGAGAAGGATGTTCTGGAGGCCTCATTGCTTTTCTTCCTAGCTGGCTGGTCTCTTTCTCTTTGCTTTGTCTTTTCCCTAAAAGAGCTTTGAACTTGATGTATACCATCTGCTATTGACCCTGCAAACAAATATTTGTGCATGTAAAGCCTTCCTCAGTGTGCATTGTAACACTATATAAAATATATGCTATAAATTCCAGATCTCCACTGTCTGGAAATCCTTGAAATAAAAATTAGGTATATTATGTATTTTTGTTGTAGCTCAGTCAGATTTTAGGGAGCTAATGGAGATATCATCTAGCGACCTTCAGCAAAGTGGTTGCACTGTTTCCCACGGCCTTCTCCTGAACAAACTGGCAAGATGCAGACTGGATGGCTGGTCTGCAAGATGGGTAGAGAATTGGCTAACAAGCCACACTCAGAGAGTGGGGATCAAAGTTTTTTTACTTGGGCTAGCAGCCTGTCACAAGTGGAGTCCTCCAGGGGTTGATACTGGGCCCCGCACTGTTCGACACCTTCAAAAATGATCTGGATGATGGGATTGATGATGATACTGAACTGGGTGATGAGGTGGACACATCAGAAGGGAGAGCCATTTTACAGAGAGACGTGGGCAAGCAAGAACTGTATACAAATGGTTTTTTTACTTGGGCTAGCAGCCTGTCACAAGTGGAGTCCTCCAGGGGTTGATACTGGGCCCCGCACTGTTCGACACCTTCAAAAATGATCTGGATGATGGGATTGATGATGATACTGAACTGGGTGATGAGGTGGACACATCAGAAGGGAGAGCCATTTTACAGAGAGACGTGGGCAAGCAAGAACTGTATACAAATGCGAAGTCCTGCACCTGGGGCAACACAGCCAAAGAGCCCAGGACAGGCTAGGACCTGTGTGGCTGGGAGCAGCCTTGCTGGAAGGGACCTGGGGGTCCTGGTGGACAACCAGCTGAACAGGAATCAGCAGTGCACCGCTGTGGCAAACAAGGTAGATCAGAACCTGGGCTGCATCCACAGGGGTATTGCTAGCAGAGCCAGGTGTGATCATCCCACTCTACTCAGCCCTTGGGAGGCTGCACCTGGAGTACTGTGTCCAGTTCTGGTCCCCACAGTTCAAGACAGACGTGGACAGATCGGAGAGGATCCAAAGGAGTTCCATGAAGATGATCAAAGGGCTGGAGAACCTGCCTGATGAGGAAAGACTGAAGGAGTTGAGTCTTTTTTCTTCCTGGGGAAGAGAAGGCTCAGAGGGGATCTCATCACAATATTCCAGTACTTAAAGCACTGCTATAAAGAGGATGGAGACTCTTCCTTCACAAGCAGCCATGCCAAGAAGACAAAGGGCAATGGGTATAAGATGCACTGGAAGATGTTTCATTGCAATATAAAAAAAACTCCAACAAACAACTTACAGTGAGAACAATCACTCAGTGGAACAATCTCCCCAGGGATGTGGTGTTGTGCACATTGCTGGAGCTTTTCCAGGTGCTACTGGACAGGGTGATAGATGATCTCCTCTAGACTCCCTTTCCCCTGAAAGGTTGGAACAGAGGATCTTCCAAGGTCCCTTCCAACCTGGGCTGTTCTGTGATGACTCTGTGTCACTGAGTGTGACTCTTATAGTTTGCACGATGTGGGAGATCAAACTAGATGATGATGGTACTCAGTAGATGTGTTCTATGAAAAAAAAAAGTTAAATTGGATACTAAGGAGCATTTTTCTTCTCAAGTGATACTGGTATTCACTGATTTTTAAAATTAAAAAAAAAATCATATTAATAGTTCGGGATGGATCTTTTTCACTGAATCCTCTGCTGTTCCTTGTCTACCTAATGATCACATCTTCATTTCCTGATGTCAGCTGGATCTTCTATTATCTTTATGCCACTGTAGAAGTTCAGTATACGATTGCTTTAAAAAAGCCCAGAAACTGACACCTTGACAATATTGATGATTTGAGCATTGGGACCCACTGCTGAACTGTGAGCTGTTTTTTACCTTTACTGGTTTCAGTCAAGGATGACGTTCATCTAGCTTGCAACTTCACACATCTACTATTTTGTCATTTTCTTGGTGGAAATGTTTCTAGAAAGATTATGAGAAATGCAAGTAAGATAATCTTTCCAGTGCTGGGGTATGTATTTTCCATAGAGATGAGCATGGCTGGGAGTTATATTTTCTGTATATAGCATGGAATCAGATAATAGTTACATTTATAATTTGGACTAACTCAAAAGAGGAGTCATCCTGTGACAGGTTAGAGAATCAAACTGTAGGATAGTGTTTTTCACTTGCAGGTAGGTAAGAACATCAGCACAACTAATATTCAACAGCAGAAAAAACACCTCACGGGATAAAGTGTTAAGTCTCTGATAAACAGGAAAACCAGCTGATTTCCATATATTCAACCTCCTACCCAGTCTAGTAACATTATTTAATTGGTGTTTTCTGATTAGAGGAGAGCTGCAGGGTAATAAGACTTATCTTTGCATCCAGTTATGAGGAATAAAATTGTAACATCTAATTACAAGGGAGATGAAATTATAGAATTTTAATAGAGTAAGGAATAATTGAAAAACAAACAAAAAGCTATCCTCTTGAAAGCTGCTCTTAAAACAAGCCTGTAAAAAAACTGGCTCCGTTTCTTGTCTAGTGAACTACAGCCTTTAGAGGTGGAATTGCTACCTGGGTTTGCATGGAGTGATAGGACAAGGGGCAATGGCTTTAAACTGAAAGAGGGCAGATTTAGATTAGATATAAGGAAGAAATTCTTCACTCTGATGGTGGTGAGGCACTGGAACAGGTTGCCCAGAGAAGTTGTAGATGCCCCATCCCTGGAAGTGTTCAAGGCCAGGTTGGATGAGGCTTTGGGCAACCTGATGTAGTGGGGGGTGTCCCTGCCCATGGCAGGGAGGTTGGAACTAGATGTTTGGGTTTGTTAGAAAGGTTAAATGAAAATTAACCAGATGGAAAAGATGCTGTGCGCTGCGTGTTGGCTGTTTTGCAGCCACTTGGTAGACCTTAAGCTTCTAGAAATTTGGAAGGTCAGGAAAGATATTTGTAAATGCTACACTGATGGCCGGCAGAATGCCTGCTGCAGCCCTCCCAGAGTTAATTGCTTGGAGTATCTGTATGTTTCTTTTTTTTCCTTCTTTTTTTTGTATTTTTTAAGTCCCTGGGTTGTACTACATAACTATTTGTGCAGAGGCAAAAAGCGATTTTGCTAGCTATCTTTGAGGTGATGAAAAAACAGCTTCCTGCAACTGCAGACAAGATTTTAATAACTTTGTGGGCAATCATGAAGCAAGAAGTTAGGCAGCAGTGTTAGAAACTTTCTCAGATATGAAAGAGGGCAGATTTAGGTTAGATATAAGAAAGAAATTCTTTACATTGAGGGTGGTGAGATACTGGAACAGGTTGCCCAGGGAAGTTGTGGATGCCCCATCCCTGGAAGTGTTCAAGGCCAGGTTGGATGAGGCTTTGGGCAACCTGGTGTAGTGGAGGGTGTCCCTGTCCATGGCAGGGGGGTTGGAACTAGAAGATTTTTAAGGTCCCTTCCAACCCAAACCATTCTATGATTCTATGATAAAAATAAAACTTCCTGAGAATTTGTTGCCTCTCTAATAGTTGTTCCCGTTAGTAGTGAGTGCTCATGTCTACCTAGATAGCATGACTTCTCATCTTAAAAACTTCATTTCCATGGATGTGTGAACATTGTCAGTATTGTGTATTTGAGGGATAGCTTTTGATAGGTTTTTTTAAGCTTTTCTAACTTAGTACTTGATCATGTGCTCATACCCTTTCCAGCTCTGCTCCCGTACTTTTTTTATTGTGCTAACTTTTTAAGATGACATAAATGGAAAAAAAGGGGAGAGGGGGGAAAAAAAGGTGGAGCAGCTTTTTTTCTGCTAGAGTAGGTAACCTTAATCTGACACGTGTTTTTTGGAGGTTCTGATATACTGGTTTAAAATTGTTCTGTATTTTCATTTTGTGCCTCGTGTTTTTTCTAGCTGCATTGATTCATGGAAGTTTTCAGTTGGTGCAATTGCTGTAAAGAACAGCTCTCGTTACAGGGGTTGGTCTTTTATGTGGGTGGGCAGTATTTTGGCTTTGGGCATTGTCTCCTGTTGTCTCTTCTGAAGGAAATAGCAACTTCAGCTTCAAAACTTGTCGGAAACTTTCTAAAACGATTTGCTACTCTGTCTGTGTCTCTTCATCTCTTGAACTTCTAAGATTTGAACTATCAGAAAAGGTCGTGGTGCCTTCTGAAAAGTCCAGGCTGCTTTGAGGTCTCTCATATCTGTATGTCCAAAATTAGAAGTGCCTTTTGAAAATAGACGCTTTTTTTTTTCTTTTTGGTAATTATATTAGGATCTAAGTGACTACAAGATGTTCTGAAGCTTCATTTATAAGATCTAATTATTTCTGTAAAAGTTAGCTTGGTGTGGCTAGCATCTTCTTTTGACTTTCCAAGACTTTAAGTATCTGCAAGTTAAATGCACAGAACCCACTGAGCGATACTTTCAGTTTTGAAGAATGAGTTGCAGAAATGCTGTTTCTGTCTTTTAGTGCTATTTTTGTAAGACGTTTGTCATTTTAAACGCCTTTGCAAAACGTGTTAGCAGCTTTAGAGCAATTTCAAATGTTTTATATTGCGTTTGGTTGTGCACGCCAGGCATTGTGCACTAGGTGTCAGCATTGGTCCACCGTCAGAACTCATTGTTGCGTGTTGCTGGGATGTAGACTTGAAGTAGAATCATAGAATCGTTTAGGTTGCAAAAGCTCTTTAAGATCATCGAGTCCAACCGAAGTAGTTGATAGCAGTTGATCTTATAGCAGCCTTCCAGTACTTAAAGGGGTCCTACAGGAAAGCTGGAGAGGGACTTTTGACAAGGGCATGGAGTGACAGGACAAGGGGCAATGGCTTTAAACTGAAAGAGGGGAGATTTAGATTGGATATAAGGAAGAAATTTTTCACTCCGAGGGTGGTGAGGCACTGGAACAGGTTGCCAATAGAAGTTGTGGCTGCCCCATCCCTGGAAGTGTTGAAGGCCAGGGTGGATAAGGCTTTGAGCAACCTGGTGTAGTGGAGGGTGTCCCTGCCCGTGGCAGGGGGGTTGGAACTAGATGATCTTTGAGGTCCCTTCCAACCCAACCCCTTCTATGATTCTATGATAGCCTCAAGAGTTTCTGCAGCAGTTTCTTCTTGGCTGTCTGATTTCAAAGCAAGGTTGTCATTCAAAGAATGGTTACTTGGGACTCGTGCCAACATATTGATAAGCTAAAGCAGCACATGCTGGTGGTTCCTTATCAGGTTTGTTTCAGCTTCAAACCTAATGGGGCTTTCACTGAATTCTTCCTCACTAGTTGGCAGTCTGCATATATATGGTATCATGGAATAAACATTCTGTGGTTTACAAAATCAGAGACACACAAAAATTGAGGCAGTAGTTTCCTTGCTTTCATAGCTTGAGATTTCAAGATTAATAATTAGGTTTATTCTAAAGGGATGAAAAAGTTGAACTTGGTAAATTGATAGATATTGGAAGTGGTGTATTTTTATGTTCTTATTATGCACGTATACATCATGCTAAATATCTTCCATAAAATGTTGAACTGTTTAGCTGTTATTGACTGTTTTGACTATTTACTTGCTGATTCTACTGAAAAATAAAGTTAATAAAGAAATATATCTTTCAAAGTTAATAAAGAAATCTATCTTTGCTGCTCTTGTTTAGGTGTTGAACTTGAAGCAAACTTAAATTTTCCTGGTAGTAGAAGCTGTCTTGAGTGGCTATATGCAAAATCACTGACCCTTCTGCAGTGTTGGAGATATGCCTGCTGCATTTTTTTTTTCCCCTTCTGTTAGTTTTTTTTTTTTTTAAATCAGATATCTACTTTAAAGTTTTATTTGATTAAAAGCAAATCTTTTCTCTTTTCCCTTTAAATTTCAGCTTTCAGAAGAAGAAAAAATCCAGCGTTACAGCATTCTTTCTGAGCTGTACGAACGTATTGGGTTTCACCGCAAGTCTGCTTTTTTCAAGCGTATCGCAGCGATGCAGTGCGCTGCACCCAGCATCCCAGAGCCTGGGTGGAGGGCCTGCTATAAACTGCTTTTGGAAACTCTCCCTGGCTACAGCTTATCCTTGGATCCTAAAGATTTTAGCAAAGGTAAGTTTCTCTGGGAAAGTGTGGATTTGCATCCTAAGTCACTCAACTGGCTTTCTGTAACTAATTTCCTTGAGAGATTTCGAACAAAACCCAAATCCTTTACCTGTCTGAAACTAATTGTGGCAAATAGAGCAGTTCTTTAAAGTGGTACCTTCACTTTTTGGCAGTGTTGCTTTCAGTGATTTCAGATTTCTGTGAGCCGCCGCTGATTGTGTTGCTGTATTCCCCTGTTTGCAGCAAATTATGTTTTATTTGTGACAGCTTCACTTCTACTTCATTTCAAAAGTGTCTTTGTTTTTTATTATATGCTTCTCAGTACAAAAAAGGTAATGTTTTATTTTTAAGTATTTCTTAAGTTACAGTGCATCCAACTTGTATATCAGAAATTATATTTCTTCTGTTATTCGTTGTTATTTCATTTTATAATGAAAGAATGAAAGATTCTTTTACATATTTTTGTATATAGACACACATACATATGTACATATAATGTAATTATATCTGTAGGGTCAAATACATCATGTTTTTCGACAAATCAGATCAAAGTGATGTTATCCATAAGACTAGCATTAGGTTAAGACATTTCAACAGATTTTAGATGCTGTATATCATTTGAATTACTATTTCATTGCATCTATTAAAAACCAATGCAAAAATAGCCCATAAGAGCACATGCCTGTTCTTATAGCTGTAAATACTGCGTTCACTTTCTGCAAGCTACGTGCTGCTCGCTGCTCCTTTTAGAATCCTAGAATCACGGAATGGTTTGGGTTGGAAGGGACCTCAAAGATCATCTAGTTCCAACCCCCCTGCCATGGGCAGGGACACCCTCCACTACACCAGGTTGCCCAAAGCCTCATCCAGCCTGGCTTTGAACACTTCCAGGGATGGGGCATCTACAACTTCTCTGGGCAACCTGTTCCAGTGCCTCACCACCTTCAGAATGAAGAATTTCTTCCTTATATCTAACCTAAATCTGCCCTCTTTCAGTTTAAAGCCATTGCCCCTTGTCCTATCACTACACGCCCTTGTCAAAGTCCCCCCCCAGCTTTCCTGTAGACCCCCTTTAAGTACTGGAAGGCTGCTATAAGATCACTCCAGAGCCTCCTCTTCTGCAGGCTGAACAGCCCCAACTCTCTCAGCCTGTCTTCATAGCAGAGGTGCTCCAGCCCTCGGATCATCTTCGTGGCCCTCCTCTGGACTTGCTCCAGTAGCTCCATGTCCTTCTTGTGCTGGGGACCCCAGAGCTGAACACAGTATTGCAGGTGGGGTCTCATGAGAGCAGAGTAGAGGGGCAGAATCCCCTCCCTCAACCTTGATTTTTGCATAAATCTTCCGTGTAGCCCAAAAACTTGCCTTATTTTTGTATAGTAGCGTTTCTGGGGTCAGTTCACTCAATGTTGTAGCTGCAGGAATGGAGCAGTAAGCAATGGGCTGAGCATGTGTTGATGGAGAGGCGGTAGGGTTCACCCATAAGAAAACTCTAAACTGGTTTAAATATGGATGAACAGCAGCTGGAAGAGTCTTCTCCCTTCTGTGACAGTACATTGACTGTCTGTTGTTGGGATTCCAGTTGGAAGTTGTCCTGTAAATTTAGATGTTTCCTTATGTGCTAGGTCACTTAGCTCCATTATTTTTGATGGTTATCTAGTCAGTTCAGTCAATGGAGAACACAGAAATGCTCAGCTGACTGACCAGGACATGCTGTTTTCCAGGCTGTCCTACCTGCATTTGTGATTCCCGTTGATGAAATGGCATGTAGACAACCTGCGGCGTGTGTGGATGTCTTTTTTTTAAAAAAAAACAGGTGATTTTAGCAGTTACCAAAAGAAATGACATGTGAAAGGAGGCAGAAAATGCCAAGTGGAGTAGATAGAAAGATACAAAGAGTCTAGGAAGAGGGAGTGTACTGGAAAAAATATGCTGTGGCTTCTGATGGAAAAGGAGAAAACTGGAATGGGACAGCCTTGGGAGAAGAGGTTGTAGAAGTTCTTCAAGAACTGACAATTATCAAAAAAAGTTACATGATTGGTGTTTTACCTTGCATTAAGTTACCTTTATGTTGCACTGAAGTGCTTTGCCAGATGTTACCTCTAAAATGGCTTTTTCGGAGATATATGGAAAGATCACTGCAAACCGTATGGACTGCTTGATAAGAACGATATTTTGCTCCTGGAAAATAATGAGACTTGTGTGTGCAAAATACAAACTCTCAAGGTTTAGTTGCAGTAAATATTTCTAGAAAAGTTTGACAGATGCTGAAGGGTAATATTAGAAGAAAGGCTGTTTAGAAGTTTATGAAGTATTGTCCATCTTGGAATATCTGTTATTTAAAAATTATTGCTCCTGCTTACTACTAAAAGCAGGTTTACATTTCATGAAGAGTACTGCATAGTACGTTTTTGAAAGAACAGTTACATTATGATGATCTATTTTATTGTTACCATAGATACTCTGAAAATATGAAATAATTTATAGTCTGAAACTTAGTTTTTAAAGACTGAAAATCAGGAAATGTCCTGCAGTTTTATTGCTTCTTACTGACTTTTAACAACCGGGAAAGCATTTAGAGAAAATATCTTTTGCTTGTTCTTCAAAGAGAGTTAAGAAGTACTTGATTTGGATAAAAATAAAGTTTCTGTATGAAATCTCCTGTGAATTTCTTGTTCAGAGAATTTAAAAAATAGAAAACTTTAGAGGTTTTGTGTATAATTTTATTGTTTACTTTAGGGGAAGTGTTAACTTCATTTTCTGAATTCTAATGATAAATTCATTAGTTGATGGACAAGCATATAAAACGAAAATTGCTTTCACATTTAAATATTTGAGCAATCTCAAAGATCCTAATTTTTCTTTTGTTTTGAGTACAAGATTTGAATTTTGTAATTATTGGTTCCATTGGGTGATTTTTATATATATATATATATATAGTTAAATCATGGCGTAGTATATCAAGAAAACCACAACCAATTGGTTTGTGATGATTTACAGCTTAAAAAAAAATAATTTTTAAGTAAAAAATTTCAAAGCTTGCTTACTTTATAGGAACTCATAGAGGATGGGCTGCAGTACAGATGCGTTTGCTTCACGAGCTAGTATACGCTTCCAGAAGAATGGGCAATCCTGCTCTGTGCGTCAGGCATCTGTCTTTCCTTCTCCAGACCATGCTGGATTTTCTTTCCGATCAAGGTATGATTTTTGTAAAAAAAAGTTGATATCTGCACTTTCTGCTGTCTTACAGTCAAATAATGTCTTTGTTTTGAAATATATTTGATTTGAGAAGTAATGGAGAGCACAGAAGTTAGGGAATTCTGTGTATGTATGAGTAATGGACAGTAATCAATCATGTGTATGGTGCTATTAGTTTTAAATATTACAGTGTTCTGACCTTGATGTGTAGTATTGAAAATAAAACTGGCTTAACTGGTTTCCATCTGTAGATTGACTTCCTCAAGCCTGATGCTTGGTTTCCTTGGTAAATATTAGGGATATGACCAGAGGGCTTAATTTGTGTGTGGATTAAAAAAATACGTATTATTTGAAAATACTAGCCTTCTTCAAGCCTTTGTAAGTGCTAGTAATGAAGAGATTGAGAGGAATCGAGGCTGAAAAGTAGATTAGGAAGAGAAGAGTGCGCTGCAGATCAGAGTGAATCTGCGATGAGTTTTCTGATGAGAGATGTTTTCTGATGAAACATTAATAGTCTGGATAAAGAAGTCAGCTAAGGGAGTAGGCACAATCCTTGTCCGTGTTTGAGCTGAACATGGTTCAGTAGTATTTAACTAGGACAGTAGGCTTAAGTTTCTAGAAGTAATATAAGTTTCTGTGGGTTTTTTTTTCAATTTGTGTGTTTTTTTTTCTTTTTTTGTTTTTTAATTCAGCCATAAATTTTGGTGGAATTTATTAAATTTGTCAGTGGATAACAATGGAATGAATGTGTCTGTGGATGATTTTCAGAAATGGTAATGATATGTTTGAGGATCCTTCTGGGAGGTGGTAGCACTCAGAAAATCACCTGGAAAAGCAAAAAGCGACAAGGATTATGTTTGTATTATGCTTCTTAGGAAGAAGGTTTCAGAAAAATTTATTTACCACCCAGAATAATGAGACAGAACTAGTGGTGAAATATTTACAAAATGTTTTTGACTGACAGTAAGTTTCAGACAAATTATTTATCACCCAGAATAATGAGACAGAATTAGTGGTGAAAGATTTTAAAAATGTTTTTGACTGACAGTAAGCTAGTAAAAGGTGCGTATTTTTCAGTGATTCCCTCGTTTAGGATACAGATGGGAGTAAAATGATTCAGATTTTTCCCCTCTTTTCTCCTTTAGTAATGGCCAATCCTTGGTGAATCCTGCAGCAAAGAACTTTGCTGGCAAGCTTTAGGTCTTTGCCTGCCAGTGAATTCCCTCTATTTGGTGGCTCAAATCAGTAGTGGAGGAAGGACAGGAACTGAGAGGAGCTGATAAACTGGAATAAATAATCTTTCTGTCCATAGATCTTATTTGCTGTCAGAAGGTCTTTGGATTTTCCTGGACTTTTAATGAAGCTTTGTTGATTTATGTATGGAAGGTTTGGCCGGAGACAAGGCTTTAATCTCTTCCACTACACATGTCCACATGTGATATTGCTAATCCCTAATCCTAAAAAGGTTTGAAATCTTGAAGAGAAACAACTTTTGTGTTTCTTGTCTGCAGACGTGATATGTCTGAGTAAAGCTTCCAGTTTCGTAAGACCTACGATAACTGTGATACTTAGTGTCTTTGAAAAATCAAACTACATTTTCTCCAGTGTGTTTGAAAGGAACCTGAATCTTTCTCCTTTTCTGCTGAAGACATCCAAAATGGAACTTACTGTTGTGTTTGAAGTCTTTATTGATAGCATGTTGCGCAGACATGGTTAGTGGTGTTCCAAACTAGCTAGAGAGTGGATGACATTGCCAGAAATGTATTTCTGGCTTGTAATTTTTTATAATTCTTCTGAGATTGAAACTGTAGTTCAGCTGAAGTTGAGATACTGGGCAGAAAACAGAAAAGAATGATTTCTTCTTCACTTGAAGTTCAGAGGATGGGATTTAGTAGTTATAAGGAAAAATCTATTAATCAGAAGCTCTTGCTTCCATTCATGGAGTACAAATGCATAGTCAAAACTAGTTTATGTTTAAAACAAAATTTTCTTATATTTTAATTGAAAGACACTTGATAATTATTTCAAAACACAACTTTTATATATGTTTTCTTGAATTACAATTTCCAACCATGCAGCCTGGCAAATCTGAATAAAAAGTATCATCAAGTAAATGGAAGGTATCAGTCATTATTTTAACAACATGGAAGCTAAGAGTCTGATTTAAAATTAAACTATTTAGTTACATAAATATGTAAAATGCAGTCTTCTGCTTAGCAAAAAGAGGTACCAAATTCTGCATAAAAGCTCTCTAATCTCAAGCCATTATGTTTTAATGTTAACAAGCCCTTGAGAATCACTCTTTCTTTAAATAAGAAATAAATGTGCAATTGCAAAGCTGCTTGGAATTAAATCTCTCTTTTGCATAAAGCTTTTTGAAACATAACACTGTGCGTACAGCTCACCCTGAATTTGATTTGGGTAAGGTCAGATGCTTGGAAAAACCCTGATGTTTTATTGTGGCTCTTTATTGATAATATCCATAGTACTTAAAAGGACTGTGATTTGTATTGTGTGCAAATGATTCTGAGTTAGCTTATCTGTTACGGCCTGTCTTTAGACAGAGCTACTTGGGAACAGCTGTGATTGAAATGTGACTGTCCACACGGGAACCACATGCAGAGGGCACGTCTGTCACCCCTGCGAGCTCACGTTCTCTCAGATATTGAGTAGGTTTCCAGGTGTCATGCCTGCTGTTTTGCCTTTGGTGGTCAGAATCTTAGTGCACTGAGTTGACCTTTTTTCACCATGCCTGGTGTTACCCAACAGTGAAGGGGTTAAAACTTCTGTAAGGATTTCATGAGGGGTTTAGTAGGCGGTTTGTATGTACCTAAGGAATGTAGAATCATGGAATGGTTTGGAGTGGAAGAGACCTCAAAGATCATCTAGTTCCAACCCCCCTGCCATGGGCAGGGAAACCCTCCACTACACCAGGTTGCCCAAAGCCTCATCCAACCTGACCTTGAACACTTCCAGGGATGGGGCATCTACAACTTCCCTGGGCAACCTGTTCCAGTGCCTCACCACCCTCAGAGTGAAGAATTTCTTCCTTATATCTAATCTAAATCTCCCCTCTTTCAGTTTAAATCCATCACCCCTTGTCCTGTCACTACATGCCCTTGTAAAAAGTCCCTCCCCAGCTTTCCTGTAGGCCCCCTTTAAGTACTGGAAGGCTGGTATAAGACCCCCCCGGAGCCTCCTCTTCTGCAGGCTGAACAGCCCCAATTCTCTCTCAGCCTGTCTTCATAGCAGAGGTGCTCCAGCTCTTGGATCATCTTCGTGGCCCTCTTCTGGACCCGCACCAACAGCTCCATGTCCTTCTTGTGCTGGGGACTCCAGAGCTGAATGCAGTATTCCAGGTGGGGTCTCATGAGAGCAGAGCAGAGGGGCAGTATCCCCTCCCTCGACCTGCTGGCCACGCTGCTTTGGATGCAGCCCAGGACATGGTTGGCTTTCTGGGCTGCCAGCGCACATTGCTGGCTTGTTTTGAGCTTAACATAACGAGATGACCATCCTTGAAGCTGCCGGGAGTGATTAAAAGGGCGACTCTTTGTCAAAGAACTGTCTGCCCTTGAAGGCAACATCCCAGAGAACGTGTAAACTTTGGTATCATGTTTTTCTGAATTGGGAACATGTGCAGCAGTGACTTGGGGAAAGGTAGTTCCAGCCGGGGGAGATCACGACCACCGACTCACGGACCACCTGCCCTAAACATACCTCAGACCCAAAAGAAAGGGGTGGAGGAGAGAAGTGAGCATGCGAAGGAATTTACATGTAAAGCGAGAGAAAATTAACCAATTGTTTAAGAGAATGACAATGACTGTGTAAACATGCTCGTAGTGTATAACGAAGTTTCTGTCCGGGGCCAGGTGTGCGTGCCAGGAGGAGACATCCCCCGTGCACCCGGCACCCCAATAAAGCAATGCCGCTTTCTAACACTGCAAACTGTGTTAGAGAGTTTCCATCCGGATTTTCAGTGATGCTGGTGTGGGATGAAACTAGAAATACTTAATTTTTTTTTTTTTTTTTTGTGAGTGGGTTGAGTTTATTAAAGATCCTCGAAGTTTGTTTCTTTTATTATTTGAGAAATAACGTACACTTTGCAGTACTTCTCAGTATACCTCTGCCATTAAGATCTTCCTGTCCTGTGACTGTTGTTGTTCTTTTCAGGCTTCTAGTGAGATGATAGTCTTCACATCCGAGATCTCTACTGGTCTATCTGTTGGATACTTGATTAATTAAACTACTGACTCTATTGTGATTCTGCCTCACATTAAACATGCAGAAGTCATTTTTCATCTGTTGACCAGTGTTTTGGATGTCTTCATTCTTGGGGTGACAGTAGGTGATGGAGAGAACAATATCTAGAAGTATTACCTGAAACGTCTTAGGATGTCTTCTTGTAATTCCTGTGCGTGGTTGATTCTTGTATCATTGGACACCACTGTTTGTTCCAGCTGCATCCTCTGTTACCAGACTTTAGGGCATAGGTTGGTTCCCAAAGCAGTTCGGCAGGGGTTTGAGATTGTGGAGGCTAAAATGAAGGTGCACATCGGCCTTTGGACACCAGTTCTACCTGTTGGTCCTGGATAGTCAGCAGGCAAAGGTGGCAAGACATATGACAACGTTCCATATTTTTACTTCTCTTCATCATGGTTATTGATTTTGGATACAGCCTACATGATTGTCTGAGCTCTCTTGGACCTTTTAGGTGCTTCTCTAGCACAGGTATTGTTGCAGCATTAGTATGGCCTTTGGTGTCTCCAAACATCTGTTCTGCTTCTCTTACCAGTCCCTAGATTAACACAAATACTCTTTTTAGAAACAGAACCACGTTGGCTAACAATCTCAAGAACGACCACATGGCCTTTCATGTAGGTACATGTTTACCTTTCAATACCAGAAGGACAGAGTGTAGTGCACCAGAAAGACAGACAATAGTAGATGTCATGTAATTCAGAATCTTTCTGTGATGACCTTTGCCTTTAGTCTTTTCAGCA